GCTTGAGAAATGTCTTGAATGAAATACGGTAAAAGGAGTGCGTTTGTGCCGAAGCAAGTATGTTTTCAGATTTATGGCTTTTTCTCGACTCACAAACAAAATAAACCCCCCAACTCCTTGTATTCTATTGTGTCCTGGTCATAACCAAGGAGTGTATGACCGATTTGAAAGTTTAACCTGATATTAAGCTGTACAATGACACATGGTTAATCATCTTGGCTGGTCGGGTCAGGAGAGTTATTTTGGCTAGTGAAAAATCCTGTACAAATATAACATTCTGTCCAGAGACCAAGCTATACAGCGCAGTTATCTAGCTCCACAACCTCGCACCGAAATTCGAGACCAGCATTCACTGTTAAATATCGCCGTATCTGAAATTTGTTATTGCTGTGTCATTCGGTGCCTCAACTGCTTAGCTTCATTCAAGCAAATCAAACTTCCAACGCAGACCTGTTTGGACTTCTACAACATACATATGCCATGAGGGTCCTGTCTTATGACAAGCATCCCACAGACCGGTAGATATTAAGTTATTTCGTCGTATCAGGGCCTTAACTGGGGGCAGAAAAAAGCGGCTAATTCGCCATATGATACGCTAATTTGTACTATGGGGCTCCGGATTCCAGCTCTGAAAATAAGAGTGAGGGAACTGACAGTGACGCGCAGGAGTTTTGGAGTTAAAGTTGGACCTAGTATGTCTCTTTTCTTTACTTCTGTACAGAAGGCCCCTAAAGCTCATAGCGTACGGTAAAAGTATCCGAAGGATACCGAGGTGGATAGCCAGTTCTCTCAATGAATGGTTCAGGTTTTGAACGTGCTGTCGAAATAAGTGGCTTCTGAACAGGGAAACGGAGCAGCTACCAAGAAGTTGAACAGTTACAAAAGTCTTCTATAAAAACCAACTCAGGACTCTCCCGCTGCCAGTTCTGTCAACTATGGATTGAAGCTGGGTTATTCTATTGGGGAAACGATTGAGTGCGTTTATATATGACAGTGAATCCCCACAAATAGAATACTTATTTATTTATTTTCGTGATCTCTAAGACCACAAGAATAATGGAACGCCGTTTTTAGGGGTTTCTGCGTGTAAGCATTCGTGACACACCGTCAGACATGAGGCAAATTCTAGATTTTTCTGACAGTCCCTGTGTTCTCATAATGCTTTTGAAATTTAACAAGAGGACTGACGTTTTCAGGACATCGAGTGCCTTGCGTTGCAGCCCACAAGACTTGCGACATGTTTCACAGTTTTCAAGGGTTTTTTCGATACTATATTTCGGGCATTATATCCAGTACGCACTGAAACTCATTGTGGGAATACAACTCGGCGGTGAGCCAGTTTTTCAAGTATGGAGCATTCGCTCTAGTTGCGCAGGGTGCCACTTGTTCAGTATTCGAGAGAGCCACGTGGGTAAATCCCCAAAACACAGGTAGTGCCTGCCCGTCAGAATCTTCGACAAACGACGGTCGGTTCACAATTTGCGGCAGTCGTACGTGCCATATTTTTAAGTTCAAGGAATCATTATCTTGCTAACAAGATGTAGCGCGACGAAACCTTCCCTCACTGTCTTCGTCAGTGCAAATCCTCGAAGCACTTAAAATACCACAGAAACGCTGCACTGTTATTGCTGTTTTTTCTCTTTTCTTCGGCTATGAACCTTTAGGCGTTAGGGGGGAATAAAATAGGAATTAGTGGTTATGGATGGTTTCTTATTGTAAAATAAGCGACACAGAGAACCATGAATCATCTCTGCCTGTCTTGTTGTTTGAAAGACAGATAACGTTGGAAGTGGCAGCAGAAAAACGACGGGTGGAAGAGTAAAACAGCTCAACAGGATAACTCTTCTCACAAGACATCATTCGACCTATTACGATCGCCTATCATAGGGAGACATGAAATGTCCCTCGCAAATTTTGCTTTGCATGTTACCGCCTCTTTCAGTTATCTTGTTGCTGCAAGCGAACTGGCATGCCCTCGGGGCACGTGGCCAGCCATATCTGTTAGTATGTTTCCGGTTGCAGAAGCGAATCATATGGTCTTTGTCCTGGCGCTTTTTTGACATCTCCATGCAGCTGTAAGGGGCACACTCCCTGGGTCTCCACGCAGCGACATCTCTTCTGTCACCTTTCCCAATGCATCCGATACTGTAAGGGGTGCGCAGGATATTCCGAGTATCGGCGATTCAGTGAACGAATATGTTTCTCCATCTGATTCATGGCGGGCTGTATTGTCTGTCCTGCTGATGTGTGCACCCTCCACCGGTGTTCCAGAAGGCACCTGCTTGGATCCAAGTCCTGTGAGCTCTTTCACTGTCACTCAGAAGACGTCAGAGAGAATGGTTTTCATCCCCTTCTCTTGCTGTAGCCGGCCGTTGTCCGCAGAATGATGGGAATGGTTTCCATTTCCTGCTTGTTCAAGATTTGGAGCGGTCCACGGCAAGGTGCACTTTAAACCTGGCGTCTCATGTGGTCTAAACTGCACTGAGGAACCGTATTTTGTTGTTCAGCATTTTAAAGCTATTCAAGCAACACTCTAAGCATCTGCCAAGTAGGGTTGATGGCTTCATATCACTTTAGTAATCCATCTGTCAAAGGCTACGCCTAGAAGCCTTCAGAACTGGCAATACTTATTCGAAAGCCTCCGAAAAACAAGGTTACGCGTTTCATTATCATTTTGATTAGAAAGACAGGGTGAATACAGAATGCGGTCCTAGAATGGCCTGCGATGGCCCATGTTTTTTAAACATATGCACTCCGTTGCTCTTCGTTCAAACCCAAGTTAAAAAACAGCCTCTACTGTCTGATAACTCTTCCTGCTTTCCGAAAGAACTCGGGGACGTTTAACAACGCCACCTGAATACAGCTTTTCATCGCCACGGGCATACGAAAAATTCAATATTTTGTGGTTTCATGCAAACGTCTCTCACTATCGACACCAGCGAATTAGGTTATTTGACCAAGTTTCAGACTGGCTGGAGGGGCTTGTTATCCATATTTATCGTCTTTATCCCTTCGCTTACTGGAATTTGACTGGCCTCATAAACCACCTTGGTTTATAAGGGACCACTGCAGTTGGCAGTTTTCCGGGTTATAATTCCTCAATATGCCGTCTAAACTAGTGGACCTTGTCTCAAACACAGTTAACCATACATTGACGACCAGAGGTGACGGTAGTCATAAGCGAGTTCACAATCTCGCTCGTTTAGTCTCATGGTCCTTGGGCTTCTCTAATGTCTCGTAATGTGCTTAAATGGTTGGCTTATACTCGTAAAGGTTCTTGAGACGGCAGTAAACAAACTGGTGTTCATATTTCTATTGTAAAGTGATGCTTTTCAGACTGATGCATCGTGGGAACGCCGTACTCCATAGCGTTCTCCCATGCTCGGATGATATTTCTGATAGTTCCACTCTAGATTTATGGTCAGTTGCACCTATGTACGAAATGAATCACTTCAGCTTTGGTAAACGACCTCAATAAAAAGAAAGTGACCCAGAATTAAACAATAGTTTCAGCCGGTCGAACGACGTTTGAAACTGTTTTCCTCAAAAAGAAATATAATTTTCTAGGACATTCTTTGACAGTGAAGTATATTGGGCTGAGCCCCGTTGACAGATAGCCGTAATCTCGAGGTTCGTTCGTGTCTCATGAAGTAAAAGTTTCGAATGGCGTCAACGCTTCATTGATCATTTTCCCCTCAGTGAAAAGTATGAAAATTTTGATCGCTGGAGAAACGGAAGACACCGTCAAGCTGCGGGCAAAGACCGAAACGCATAAGTTAAAATGAGACCGACTTCAGTAACAGTTCATCTGACTTCAACGCAACTGCTGTGAGCGAAAACGCAGGTACTGCTCACTCTCTCAAGTTCTTAATTAATTGCGACCAATATAATTTTCGAATTTATAACAAGCTATTTTTATTCAGTCCGTAAATCGTCATCTTGCATGCCACAAATAACCTCATGTTGAATACAAGCTGAGAAGACCTCATTTACCATATTGTATTTTCTAATGTTTTCTCGCTTCTACAACTTGTCTTAGGAGTAGAAATCATATAAGTTCAAGAAATTACAACCGAATGGCTCATATCCGAAAAATCATCGGTTTTTCAGGCCAACTCAACGAGTCCTGTCCACACCAACGACTGCCCGACAAGATTCTGAACAGATTGTCACCAGCGTTCTCCGGTAGCAGTTGAAGGTATGCTCATCCATCCTTATAAACCCCAGCCATAGCATCTACCGTAAGACCCACCCCTTTCCCATATTATTGCTAGTAACACCTATTTCCCACAAGTAATTTCCGTTCCTCTTTTCTCATTCTCTGCCCGCTCTATTTCTCGCGCTGCTTTTTAAATAACGTGCCTAAAAAAATACGGGACTTGTAAACGATCAGTTGGTCTTATCAGCAGTCCCATCGCTCTTCGAAACAAACCTATGTATAATTTGCAAAAGGAAACCTTCAAACAGACAATCATTAATTCCAAAGCCACATGCAGGTAAACTGTGAAGGCTTCTGCCGCCACCGAAGAAGTATTACCAGACAAAAGGAACCAAACTCTGAGACTTAGAAGTGAGAACTAAGAAGTTGCAGGTTGCCTTCCCTTGTCCCAATGATGTCGGATATTGTTGGACGTACACTTAAGTCCTCAGAGCGAGCTAATAGATTTATTCTGAAATAACCGACTCTCTTCCACATATTCTTCACGTCATGCTTGGGTTCTGAGACACAAGAGTTATGGATCCACTGATTCTAAACGATGGAGTCAGCCAAGTAAAAGCTTCTTCTCTTCCGTCACCAACCATTTAAATAGTGAGCCGATGAAACTGTCTACTGGACCATATTGTTCTAACACGTTCTTTTGATATTCAAAAGCCGTAAATCTGGTTTTGCTGTAACAAATCCTTGGAGTATAGTTCAGACTACTCACATTTTTGTCTTTCCTTCTGAGAACATAAACTACATTGTCACATTGAAGTTCTGGGTCATTCGTTTAGTGTGCATTGTCAACCCCGCAAGATTCAGACTTGCTAATTTTGTTTAAGCATGCCATCAGGTGGACCTTTATTTGTCCTTAGTAAGTGCACTTTTAGCCTCATTATAACATAATCCAGATCGGTCAGCTAGAGGCGAGCAGGGAAAATCTGTGCAGTTAGCGAACATTGAAGCTGGAAAGACGGTTGCCGATGTAATACGGACATGCTTAGGTCCAAGGGCAATGTTAAAAATGCTCATGGACCCAATGGGTGGGATTGTAATGACAAATGATGGAAACGCTATCTTGAGAGAAGTAAGTGCTTGATTAGATTCATTGTCGTAGATAACCGTTGAACACCCTGCTGCCAAATCCATGATCGAAATCGCACGCACCCAAGATGAGGAAGTTGGTGACGGCACTACATCAGTCATCATTCTTAGTATGTGAACATAGTTTGAGTGTAATACTCTTTTTAAGGTGGTGAAATGCTAGCAGTTGCTGCTCCTTGTTTGGAAAAACAGATACATGCTACTAAAATCATATCAGCATTCAGGAAAGGTCTGGATGAAATGCTAGTTTTACTTCGCGAGAAGTTGAGGTAGGTTGTGTTGATAACTCATAGTTGTCAGTATTCCCTGTGATGCAACAAAGGAGCAGGAAGTTCACAAGATAATCAAAAGCTGTGTTGGAACCAAATTCATTAACCAATGGTCTGACCTTGCGTGTAAAATCGCCTATGAAGCAGTTAAAATTGTGACTATAGAGAGTGATGGCCGTAAGGAAATAGATATTAAACGATATGCAAAGGTGGAAAAGGTGAGGAGGTCTTGGGTTTTTTAAAAATAAAATTCAGATACCTGGTGGAACTATCGAAGACTCAGTTGTTCTTGATGGTGTTATGTTCAATAAGGATGTTGTGCATCCTCGTATGTCAAGGAAGATTGAAAATCCTAGGATTTTGCTCATGGACTGCAACTTAGAGTACAAGAAAGGTGAAAGTCAAATGACGATGGAAATATCTGATGATAAAGACTTCACGTAGGGTTCACTTTAGAGAAACTAACTGTTCTTCAGCCGTGCTTTAGAAATTGAAGAGTCATGTGTCAAAGAAATGTGTGATCACATCATACAATTTAAACCCGATGTGCTAATCACTGAGAAGGGTGTTAGCGATCTTGCGCAACATTATCTTGGCAAAGCCAATATATCTGTTTTACGACGACTCAGGAAAACTGATAATCTACGAATCGCTAGAGCCTGTGGTGCTACCATTGTCAACAGACCAGAAGAAATAAAAGAAGAGGATATTGGTTTACAAGCTGGTCTTTTCGAGGTAAAAACAATTGGAGATGAGTACTTCACATTCATCACAAAATGCAAGGTAAGTTGGTTTTAAGTAATGTAACGTTTTCAGGATCCAAAAGCCTGTACAATTGTGCTCAGGGGTGCTAGCAAAGATGTACTCAACGAAGTTGAACGAAACTTGCAGGATGCTATGAATGTAGCTCGTAATGTTATGCTTGAGCAGCGCTTGGTCCCTGGTGGTGGTGCCGTTGAAATGGCTTTAGCCCAAGAGTTGACTGAAAAGTCAAAAACAGTTGATTCTGCTGTTCAGCAATTAGTGTATTTGTCCATGGCTCAGGCTTTGGAAGTAATACCCAGAACATTAGCTAAAAACTGCGGTGCTAACGTGCTCAGATTGATTACAGAGTTACGTGCTCGTCACGCTACGGATCCCACCAAGTATTGGACATGGGGTGTAGATGGAACAACGGGAAGACTTGCTGACATGAAAGATTTGAACGTTTGGGATCCGTTGACGGTCAAGTCACAGGTTCTTAAAACTGCAATTGAGGTATGTCAATATCAAATAAGTTATTGTTCTTTAGACGGCAATACTTCTATTGCGAATCGACGATGTGGTTTCTGGAGTGAAGAAACAGTCGGGGGATAATACACCAGCACCTCCAGCTGCTGAATAAGATCACTGTTGTGCTCCATTTGCTAAGTTAAAATATATTCTGATTCTGTATGCCTCCAGAATTTTTTATCCCATTTTACCATGAGTAGTAGTCTTGATTGTTGTTAACAGTATGTTGATAGTGTGCTGTTCTTTTTGTGTACAAACAATTCACTTCAGTATTCCACTACCTTCTACTGAAAGGAAAGTAGTCGTAAGGTAAATATCCATGTTACGGGAGTTTGTCTACTGTACATTAGTACAGTCTTTTAGCTTGTTGAAATCCAGTTTTCTAAGAAAAGTAACAACTGTCTCAGTAAATTTCTAACCGTTAGGTTGTTTATTAGATCCAATCCACCAATACCAGTTCCCCGTACTAGACATTATTTGCGTTCATTTGATGTTCAAAGTTGTGGTTCATTTCAAGTCCTCAACATTCAACTATAAGTTCCAATCCTGTCTTGGTTAGGGTATATGCAGGTAACATTTCTATCCTTTGCATAGGATTATATTGAGTATCGTCTTCGTCAGTTGAATTAGTGATATTTTGGCTACAGTAACTAAGTGATAATTAACGCATCACCTGGCACACGATAGTTAACGGTCACTGGTCCCTCAAGCTTTGACACACTGATAAGCATTCAAGTAATATAATCATTTTGGTGAAGATCAAGTGCTTCTACTGTTGAACTGTGGCTTGGCGATATATTTCAAAATAAGGTAGTGAAAATCTGTCACATTGTTATCTATGTGGTCTGTCTTAGTTCTACACAGGTTTAAATGCTACTTTCTCGTCATCAAGACTAGAGGATGACCAAACCTTGAAGAGTGAGAATCACAAATCTTTTGAAAACGACTAAATTTAAGGGAAAAATAATAACCTTGTTAGATGGTGATCTAAAGCCGTTCGTTAGTCTTTGGTTAATACTGAGTCAGATTCCCATTTGTTCGGAAAAAAACTAGTTCGTGGTGTGCTGCACTATACAAGCCAAAGAAAATCAGACATTGCAGTTCAAATTCCTCATTTAGACTTAGTTATTTTAGGGAAGGGAACTTAATGTTTGCGTTGACCCCATGACAAAATCAAATAATCAGAATAGGGAAATGAAAGCAATGACAATAACAGCTACTAGGAATTGTAAAACACGAAGGGTGACTAATAAAATGAGGACATGATATTATGATTTGAACGGATACATCTGCACTACTGAAATCGATTCTTAGCCATACTGGAGAGCACAAACGCACCTAACTAGCTGAGACCAATAAGTAAATGATTTGTGAATTGGTGCAACACCTATTAACCAAAATACGAATAATAGTAGTAGCACATTTTCTGTTCAGTATGCTGTTTAAACACTAGACAATCAGAACGCAATGTTGCTACATCTCCCGACCGATAGCTGCTATCTCCCGACCGATAGCTGCTACCTTGACGTGGTGGTCGGGCTTGCATATCACAATGACCCAACGAGCTATGCTGGTGGAACGCTTGTTCCCTCGAGGTCCTACCATACCAGAAAGGTCTGTTGGGTAGTGGTTAGACGAAAAGCAGTTACCGTCATAGTGTAAATTGCTATACTATGATGGGGGTCTGAGGGCGAAGTCGTACTGCTGCTAGCTGGATGGGGTGTGACAGCAGTAAGGTGTTTCCCTTGGATGACCAGCAGTGCCAAGCTGATGCTGCCTTCTCAGTGGAAGGGGGGGTTAGAAAAGGTCGGCCCCAAAAATAACACACTCCACCACGCCCCACGGTCTGCCGGGCCGGCGGTGTTGGTTCACTTGTCGTTTCCTTTCGACTATCCGGCCCCAAAAATACAAAAATTCAAAATAATCATACTCAAAAGGCTGGGTGTGACAGGCCTCAAGCAGATGTCCGATGGGCTCTGCGGTCACACAAATCTCTTTCAGGTACCTTAAGAAGAAATAGCCTTCCACGGTGTGGGCAGCCGGGAAGTGTCAACCGCCCTCACAACTCTGTCAGCACCCAAGTTTCTTCTGACTGCTATCCTCCTCCTCCATCATTACCTTCTAATCTTCCTTCACGTCTCTTAATTAATGATGCTGCATCATCTTCAATTTCTCCTACCTCTGCAGCCTTCGACAACGATCTGAGTCCACAGAACAGTGTCCCTGGTCTCCTTAAACCACGCTCCAAATTACATATTGGAGCCTTCAATGTCCGCACCCTCCGTCAAATTGGCCAACAGGCTTCGTTGGCAAAGACTCTAGCAACTCGGGCATGGATGTGTGCTGTGTTTGTGAGACACGCATACAGGACCCAAGTGTGGTTATTCACCTGACCTCTCCTGACCAATCTGGTGAATCTGCAAAATTCACCCTTCGAGTTTCTGGAGATTCGATAGCTAGCTCTCGTGGTCTTGCAGGTGTAGGTATAGCATTAAGCACCAGGGCAGAAAACTCACTACTAGACTGGATCCCAGTTGATAGTCGCCTCTGCGCTATGAGGCTGAACGGCACAGTGAGAACTAAAAGGAATAGTGAGACTCGCCGTTGTCTCTTTGTAATCTCTGCTTACGCACCCACTGACTGTAGTTCGGATGAAGTGAAGGACGAGTTCTACCATAAACTGTCTAACCTCCTCTCGAAAGCCAAACGTTCGGACGTAGTGGTTGTTGCAGGTGACCTCAACGCACAGGTGGGTAGACTGAGTGAGGCAGAAAGGCACTTAGGTGGCACTTTCGGAATCCCAGCTGAACGTACAGATAACGGTGATCGCCTATTACAACTATGCTCAGATAACCGCCTATTTTTAGCCAGCACAAATTTCAGACATAAAGAAAGGCACTGTCTGACCTGGCGTCCACCGAGCTCGACTCAGCGATGGACACAGATAGACCACATTGCTATTAGTCATCGCTGGAGAGGATCGGTGGAAGACTGCCGCTCCTTCTGGAGTACGTGTTTGGACAGCGATCATGCGTTGGTCCGAGCACGTATATGCCTGCGTCTCAATGGACGTAGAAAAAATTTGGCAACAAAACCACTACGAGTTCTGCTGGACAACGAAAACACCAAAGCCGTGTTCAGTGAGAAGTTGGCTAGGCAGTTATCGGAACAAAAGACTGTCACTCATCCAGAAGAAGCTTGGTGCCATCTTCAGTCTACTGTAAAAGCAGCACTGGAGACTGTAGCCGACTCCAAGATAATGGCTAAAAAGAGCCAGTGGATATCAGCAGCTTCTTCCAAACTAATGGATGCACGTGAATGCATCCCTGCAGGCTCTGAGTACAATGAAGAGCGAGCGCAACTTAAAAATAAACTGACGAAAAGTCTGCGCAACGATCGTGAACAGTGGTGGGCAGCAAAGGCTAAAGAGATGGAAAAGGCAGCGGCGATCGGTAACAGTAGACAGTTATTTAGACTTATTAAGGAGACTGGGGGGAAATGGTCAACAACAGTTAGTGAGGTTATAGCGGAGAAGGACGGATCGGCGATTCACTCGCAGGGAAGGCGACTGGGACGATGGGCAGAACACTTTGAGGAACAGTTTAACTGGCCTCCAGCCACCATTGCGCTGCCCGCTATCCAGTCGGACCCTGAATGGGACATAGAGACAGGTCCCCCAACACTAGAAGAAGTTGAGAAAGCGGTAGGTAGCCTGAAACGGGAAGGGCAGCAGGACCAGACGGACTACCTGCTGAGGTATACAAGAATGGTGGTAGAGTTCTCTTAGTCAGGCTAACGGAAGTGTTAGCCAGTATATGGGAATCAAATACGATCCCCTCCGACTGGTCTAAGTCACTGATCATCCCAGTCTTCAAGAAAGGCGAGAAGTCCTCTTGTGATAACCACAGAGGAATCAGCCTGACAAACATAGTGTCTAAGATCCTAAGTTCTATAATTCTCCGACGCCTGAGTGGAGCTCGGGAACAGCAAGCCCGAGAAAACCAGGCAGGCTTTAGACCTGGCCGTGGATGTATCGACCAAATATTCACACTGCGCCAGGTCCTGGAACATAGGCATGCTTACAGACGCCCGACAATAGCTGTATTTCTCGACCTGAAGGCGGCATTTGACTCCGTTGATCGAGAAGTCTTATGGCAGTGTCTGTCACTGAAAGGCGTGCCTAGTAAGTACATCACCTTATTGAAAGCTCTCTACTCGAACACTTGTGGGCATGTTAGAGCCTATGGTGAGTTGTCCAGGGAGCTATACTCATCAAGTGGTGTCCGTCAAGGATGCCCACTATCCCCATTCTTATTTAATTTTATCATAGATATTCTTATGGAGGTTTCCCTCTCGTCACCTAATTACAAAGACGTTGACCGGATCACAGGTGAATTTTCCTTAGATCTAGAATATGCAGATGACATAGTCCTGTTAGGTGAAGACGCTGACAAGATGCAGAGTCTTCTGAACACTTTGAGTGGGAATTTGAGAATGTTTGGGATGCGATTTTCACCACCCAAATGCAAATTTTTGCTCCAGGACTGGTCTTCAGCGGTACCGCGGTTAACAATAGAGAGTGAAGTGGTTGAGTGTGTTGACCACTTCACTTACCTGGGAAGTAGGATCAACTCCGGTGGGTTAGTTGCCGATGAGATTTCTGCACGGATACAAAAGGCTCGATTGGCTTTTGCCAATTTGCGCCACCTATGGCGCCGCCGTGATATTCGTTTGTCTATTAAGGGTCGCGTGTACTGCACAGCAGTCCGCTCTGTTCTACTGTATGGCTGTGAAACATGGCCATTGAAAGTGGAAGACATGAGAAGGTTACAGGTATTTGACCACCGTTGCCTTCGTAGTATAGGACGTATTCCGTGGTGTCACCATGTGAGTAATGCAGAAGTTAGGTGTAGAGTTTTAGGGAGAAGAGGTAAGTCAGTCGACGAGGTTGTGAACCTTCATCGACTGAGATGGTTGGGACACGTACTACGTATGCCTAGTCACCGATTGCCTCGTCACACAATGTTGGCTGAGGTGGGTTCAGGCTGGAAAAAGGCCCGAGGTGGCCAGACTAAAACATGGCACCAATGTATGAAGTCTCTGACTGTTGGTTTAAGCCATGTAGGACGATGCAGACTAGGTGGTTGGGGTCCACGGGACAAGAGGAACCAGTGGTTGGAGACCCTAGGTGATATGGCTCAGAACCGAAGTCAGTGGCGCAGATGTATACACACATTATCCTCATCTTAACAACGCTATACCGAATCTCACTATTTTGTCACTCCTCTTTCCTTTCTTCTCATACTTTATATTTCTTTTGACTGCATTCACTTATCTTCATCCTTCACCTCACTACCTTTTTACTTGATGTGCTGATA